CTTCTCTCATGGTTCAAGCCTTAACATACTTAAAAGCTGATTTGGTTTAAAAGCCTATTTAAAAACCTATTTAAAAGTAAGCTTTTTAAATAAGCTTATATTTTAGTTTTAAATGTCTCAAATATATTTTAAAACTATTAGTATAAATATGTAACCTAATGTATCATTTATAATATATAATAATTAAAAAATTTACTAACTATAACACAATACAATAATAAAGTAATAACATTAAAATCAATATACAAGTCCAATATGATTGAAAATATAATTAAAAATAAAAAATAGATTGATTAAAAATTAAATTATGAAACTGATATGTGTGTGATATGTTACATAATATATATACATAAATAGGTTGACTTGTTAGTTTTGTAAGCTAAGCTTTAAAAAATTAGGCCTGATCTATTTAACTAAATATGTCTAATTAAAGGCCTGAACTTGTCCTGAGTAGGCTCAGCTTGAAGTAGGCTAAGGCGTAAGCTCCTGATAGAGGTTTGATCTATTCTTATCTCTAGTCACCTGTTAACTTTGTTATTTCTCACTAACGCAGCATGTGTGTGGATTCATGCATAGTGACAGGTAAAATTTTAATTATATCTTTTGATATTAATTTATCTCTAATTTTTTTAGGAGCGTTGAACATCACGAAGACTTGTTAAAATAAAATTTAATAAATATTATTAAATAAATATTTTTAATATTTAATAATTCAAATATTATTATTTATAAATATTCACCCAAAATTTATAAATTATTTTTTAAATATTAATAGCTCAAATTAATTTTATATAAATTTATAGATAACTGTAAATTATGTATGAAGATTTATAAATAATAATAATATTTATAAACAAATTATAGAAAATAATAAAATTAACATTAAGTTTTTAAATATTTTACGTTCATTCCCTTGGGTCAAAATAAACTTTGCACTGATATTGGAAAAAAAAAAAAAAAAACAACACTTTTGCCCTCTGGATAGACGAATTGCGTTCGGTGAGCACCGTGTGTTCAGTGGGGCCAGGAGCAATCCTGACCTTTTATTTTAATCTTATCTAATTCTTATTGTTCATTTAAATTAATTTTTAATATTTTTAATATAATATTTTATTAATTTAAAAAATATAAAAATTTTAAATTTTAATCTATTTATTTATTATTAATTTGATCAGTAGAGATTTAATCTAGCAATTTAATTTAATATTAAAAAAATATAATTTCCAAATTTGATTATACAAAATATACTCTGTACAGTTTAAGTATAATTAGATAATCTAATTTAATATTAAAAAATTTATAAATTTTAAAAACTAACCATTTAAATGTACTAACATAATTCATATTTAATAATTAAATTTTTTATTTTTATAAATAAAATATTAAAAAATATTTAAAAATAAAATTAAATGAAATCCCGAATCAATAAGGTTGAAATGAAAGGCCAAAATTGCTCCTGATTTTGATGAGCATTGCAGAATGTGGACGCATGGACAGACCACACCTGAAACATGACAAACTAGAACTCAGAGCATTGCTGCTAAAGGCAAAAGAAGTATTCGCACACACGCAACAAGTGTAGCACACAATCAGCGTTTTTTGGTAATATTTTTAGTTAATTAACAGTCTTTTTAAAAAAATATTACACCACTCAATTTAAAATTTTAATATTTTATAACTTTGTATTAAAAATAAAAGAAATGAACTGCCAAAATAATATATAAAATTAATATGAAAAAATAATAATAAAATTTTTTAAATTATATAAATGATAACTTAATTTCTCAAATGTCATAATTCCAATAAAGTTTCTAATAACCTTTTTGTCAATAACTTTTTTAGTGAAAAGAAAATTTTACCTTCATTAATAAATTATAATTTCTTGTTTAATTTTATGATTTTTTGAAGAAAAGTTATGATTCTTTAGAAAAAAGTTGTAAATAAAATTTGTTATTTTAAGAATTTATTTTTTAATATTAGAAATTATATTTAATAAGTTGTAATTTTTTTGTTCACTTTTGCTATTCACAGAACAAAAGTTGTGATTGTGATTTATTTTTCAATATAAAAATTACAAAAAACAATTGTGATTTCTTGATTAACTCTTGCTATTTACAAAACAAAAGTTATAATTCCTTACATAAAAATTATAATTGACAAATAGGTTCCTAAGGACTTCATTAAGAGTATGATATTTTGATAGATTAAATTATTATTTTTATAATTCGAAGCAATGTTATTGTCATTTTTTCAATTAATATTGCCTTGTTTAATTTGTAATTTGTTTTTTTTAATTTTAAAATTGATAATATATTGCATTATATAAAAATACCAATTAAAAACTCAAGAGACTTCCTTTGCAACTTAAAATTTGTTTAGACTTTGCCTGAATAAAATAATTTCTTAACCGTTATTCTCCAGATGAGTAATTTACAAGTTAATTAATATTAATTGTCTTGCAATGTCATTTTTTATAATTGATGATCTTTACACACAAGTTACAAGTAATTTATAAATTTCTGAAAAGCTAATTTGATCTCTTAATATTTTAAAATTTTATTCAGGATGAATATTCATAAATAATAATATTTAAATTATCAAACATTAAAATATTAAATATTTAATAATATTTATTAAATTTTATTTTAACAAAGTTTAAGGATGGTTAATGCTTGTGGAAAAAAATTAACCCAGAGGACATAATCAGAATCCTATCTATCATTATGCGTGTACCCTATATATATGTCATGTCAGCAAAAAATAACAAAATTAAATAGTGACTAACGGGGGTTTTTTGATCTCAAAAAAATAATCCAAGGAAAAAATTTGTTGTGTGTGTCAAAAGTTTCACATTGTTTAAATGAAGAACTCTTTAGTGTATAAATATTAAGGAATGAAATGAGCTAGTAAAATATGCTTGGAGGAGAAGTGAGCTTGCGTGCACAAAACAAGCCAACTCAGGACAATCACAGTTAAAATCAGTTGATTCGTCCCCCTGCACACGAGTTCAAGAGGTACTGAGTTCTTTTTATTAGATTATTTTTTCAAAATAAATAAATAAATAAATAATTATTTTTAGTTTACTGAAAAATTTTAATTTTTAGCTGTTTGAAGTTTGAAATCAAACCATGAACACTCTAATGGTTGAATGCCCAACGTTTTTAAGTCTAAGATCTGGCCTATATATGAGCATGCATTCATACTAAACAACTTGCTAGCCTCTTGAACTTTCAAGGCATTCTTCTCCACCACACTTCTCTTCGTCTGAGTTCCTTTTGTTAGTATTGTTGTTCTGTGCCCTTATATTGTGCAGGAAGTGCTTGTTTAATGATAAAGAACTGTTGGTCTATTGTCCTAGTATGCCGGAATAATTCTTAAGGACAGTATCCTTCCAGGCACGACTCAAGCAGCTCACCGTTTACGTCCATACTACTAACAAAAATTGCTCAACTTATTAGTAATGAATTCTCAATGCTCTAAAAAAAATGTTTAGAGGTAAAAATAAACCTTTAATCCTAGCCATGTTACTTTAATTTAAGCAATGATTATTTTTCTTCTAATAATGACTAAAACAAAACAAGCAATTACAACTTCTCATATGCAAGTTTTTTATCCATTGAAATCTAACTTTCTTTTGATATCATTAGAGCATTTTTCTACATGATACCTCACATTCCCAATTATAATAAAAGAACAATAGTTATTACTTAAACAAAAATAATCTTTGAATATTTACCTCGCTTGAACTTTAGTAAAGTACAAATTTGCATGGAACAAGTTGTATTGGCTTATTTCTTTTTAATTATTGCCAAAAAAAATTCATTATTTAAATTATAATTGTGAATACTTACAACAATCATACTTCATTGCATTAGAAATTTGCACAAGTAAAATTATAATTATTTATTTCATTTTATTTATAGCTAAAAAATGTTGAAACTAAAATACTCATAAATATTTATAATACTTAAATTTCAATATAGAAAGTTGTAATTGTATATTCAGTTCTAATTATTAAAAAAAAATTCATTACTTACATTAAAATAATCATTGATATTTACACTTTTTTAAGGCTAGAGCTACTACTTTTTTAGTTTTAAATCAAATGTAATTTAGTTACTTCAATAAAAATAATTAATGTTACAAAAAGTTTCCAAAAATTAGAAAAGAATCATAACATTTTGCAATATTTTATTACCGTTTGCACATTTAAAAAAAAAAAAATTCTACCATTCTTCCACAATATACTGATCCAAAATGTACTACTTATCTTTCAATTAAAATTTAAATCTTCATTCAACACTAAATTTTTATTATTAGATAAAAATGACATATTTTTCAAGATTATTTTTCAAGATTGATAATTAAAAAGATTATTTTTACTCAGCAATATACTCATTTTTAAATAAAATAATAATAAAAATATTTAGATTGTACAAAGCTGATTCCCAATCTCCCGTATAATGCATCGTTTAATTGATTTCTTACATGAAACTAAACACACTACGCTCTGTCTGGACGAGGAAAAAGATTAGAGAGGATGGAAAACTTGGAGGAAAAACTTCTAAAAATAATTAAATAATTTTAGAAAACTATTTTTAGACATTTCTCTTCATAATTCTCTCTTCTATTTCCCCCCCCCCCACCTTTTCCTCCATCCTCCAAGCTACACAATTAAGATATGAGCGAAAATTGCATCTTGCATGAATATGTCTTACCTGTTCCACAAGGTAAGTGATCAAGATGACCAAAAATATGAGCAGTTGAACAAGCTCACACAAGCGAACCAGCAAAATGGACTCAGTAGTGTGAACTTTGAAGAGTCTTTTCTCTAATTACGCAAATGAGAAAGGAATTGTTCTGTGAGCATTTAATGTACACACAGCAGGACAACACAGTCTATTGCAGGTTTTTTTTTTTTTTTTAATTTTACTCCTAACCTAGCCCTATTCTATTAAAAGGTAAAGCATACGCACCCACATATACAAACATGTTAACGATGGGTTCAAACTCAAAACCTTTTTCAAGAGGGAAAGCTGGCATTGCTACTAGTACAACTTGCATTTGACAACAATCAATTATAGTTAGTTATATGTACAGTTCGAAGCAAACAACTGGCATCGCTGGGAACTACAACCAATGATTACCAAACATGGACCACACAAAGAACTACAACAAACTCTCAATTGTTCAACATAAATCGTATGTTAATCTATCTTGTAGGCCCATCCATGTTTGTCCAAGAATGCCTGGACTGCTTCCTTTATGGCCAAATTTGGTACTAACTGGGCTGGATTAAGTGGTTCTCGGGTGACTGGATCAAACTTACCAACCTACGTTTACATGAGTTTAGAAACCAGGCAATGTAACCCTTTGTTTGGATAGCAAGAAAAACAGTGAGGAAGAAAAACTAAAAGGAAAAAGCCGTAAAAATAGTAAAATATATATATATATATATATTTTACTATTTTTGAAAATTTCTCCCACTAAGGATAATAAAACTCTTAATCTCTCAAATTTACTTTAATTATCTATTTGATCCACCAAGTTTAATTTTGATTAATCAGATCTCTTACATTTTCTTAAATTATTATATTAACCCTTTAAGTTTTAAAACACAAATTAATTTAATGTGTGAATCATATTGATAACATGTGTATAAAGCTAAATGAGAATTAGCCCTCAAATCAGTTTAATTTTTATCAACATAATCTTTTTTTGCATTTTGCTCTATTGTTTTTTAAAATTTGAGTCTTTTTTTCCTACCTAAATAATTAAACTTCTTTTTATTAATCTATATGGCTACTATCAATATTCACTTTTCCATGTCAGTAAATTTTAACCGTATTATCCTGTCTTTAAATAATAAAGAACAAATTAATAACTAAGGCAAACTTAAGGATAAAATTGGTAAAAATTAAACTTGAGGAACCAAAACAATAACTGAGACAAATTTGAGGAATTAAAAGTTCCATTATCCCATTTTCTCTCCTCTATATTTTCTTCCTACTTTTCCTTCCATCCAAACCAAGCCTAAACTATAAAAAAAATTTGATGAAACGTGTTACCTTCTCAAGATGTTCAAGAATCACTGCCCTTTCATATGTAAGACCACTTGGAGTGATGACAGGATCCCGGAAAATTTCAAGTGAAATTCTACAGCAAAGATGATCTGGCACCTGAAATACCCAAAATGCCAATCCAAGAGGTAAACAATCATGCATCAATTTCATTATATGAAGTAATTACAGATGAGCCAATCTATTCAACCTCAGCAGGTGTATCATCCTCTGCGGCTTTACCAAACACTCTTCCTAAAGCCGCTAACTGTTCTGATGGGGTGGTTGGATCTTCATCTACAAAGCCTTCCTTCTGGGAGACGTCTTGTAGATGCGTTTCCTTTAAAGCAGACTCGCAAGCTTCTCTGAGACACAGACAGGCATTATATAAAGCGGCTAATAAGAACTTCACAAGCAAAGTGAAAACTACTTTTCAAACAAAATAATAAATGAGGATTAGCTAATCAGGCACATAAACACAATTTATGAAGTAGCTGGTTTCAAATTTGATATGGAAATAGTTCACCCAGCATTAACGAATGTCCCTTGGCCAATAGGTTTGGCAATCACCAGAAACATACTTCAAGCTCTGCAATTCCCATGATCGCTTGGTAGATGAACGTTCCCATTCTAGGTATTTTGCTTTTGCTAGCTCTTGCCAGATCTCTTCTACCATATAGCCCTTAGGATTGGCTCCCCTCCCAAGATCCAAAGCCTATTAATTATGATTTTATAATCAGTATAAGAAATATTCATGCAAAAAGAAAGAGAAATACGGAAACTCGTATGTATCTATGGTGAAGTCAATTTAATTAGATATCATGCCAACAATCCAGAGAAGCAAGCAATGTGTCCCTTTATTAATTTACTTTTTGGCCAATAAATAACATAACCCTCAACAGCCCACAATTATAAGGATGTGCTCACTGCTCAGACAATTTCTCCCTCCTCCGTAACAAAATACGACTGCTGAATAAAACAAAGCAGGAAGATGCACAACTACACAAATTACATCGCAGGCTACCAGCTAGGCAAATGCCATAGAGTAGCCACCATGACATCAACTTTTTATGGGGGGCCAATTGATGGAGACTTGATAGTACAAAATACCAAGTCTTACATTGAGTAGTATGAGATGCTTAATGAGATATTTAAGTGGGCTAGTCTTACCACTTCAACAACTAACTTTTAGGATAAGGTTCTCCATCCCATAAGGTACCACTATAGGATTCAAACCCTAGACATCACACCAATAAAGAGTTGGCGTTGCCATTGAGATAGGAAACTAGCCATATTAATGGGAGTTATAGAGCTTCCTAACCCACCCCTTAACTATTATTTCACATGAACTATTATCATATGGATTTCTTTGCTATCAAGTATCCCAATACTCTATATTCTCATGTTTGGTATTGTACTAAGTATTAACTAAATATTTACACGTCCTCAGTATTTGACAATACAACAACCTGGACAATCTAGAAATGGGCATCCAAGAACTAGGGTATAAAGAGTAGACTTGGTAGAATCTTGAATCTATGCTATATTGCCATCATTTTTGGTCCAAACATTATGATCATAGGGTCTGAAAGTTAGTCAAAATATCAAATGAAGCTAAAATTTGAAACACTCAAATGCAACAAAAGGAAACAAAGTGACAAACAAAAATGAAAATGCGGTGACAAGGATGAAGTGGTAAACATCATCATTTGCTATAATAGTTATGAACATAGCTTTGATATATAGAGCATGCATCACATGCTCTCTTTGGTCCCTATTATAGAGCGCCTTTTAGAAGATTAGTTTTGTCCTTAATACAAGACACTTGATGAAGTATTAATTACATTTTTCTAATATTGCCCCTATTTAAACCTATTTACCATGAGAGAAAATGTAATGCAAATTTGAAAATTTTACATTTCAATAGGGGTAAAATTAGAAGTTTATTCTATTTTTATAAGTTAATAATGTAACCACCTCTCCTTGGTTCTAGTAAAGTAGTTATAAGTGCTTTATAATGGAGACCAGAGGGAGTACAATACATTGCATATAGGTTATTCAATTTTAGATCCATGGGAGACTTGGGAATCAAAAAGTAAAGATGTTATATCATTATTCTTGAACAGTAAATATTTCATTAAGCCATGCTTCGTAGTGACATATTTCTCTTCCACTAATTACTAAATATATAGAAATACCCATCATTCTTTCCATACAATTTTTATTGGCTAAAATCCTAGGCATTACTTCTTTCCAAATAATTCTGCATTCCCGCAATGCTTCCAAAAAATCAGAGGGGGATCAAAGTCCAGATAAATTGAAATAAGCAACACCTTACTTTTCTTTTCTAGTATTTTTTTTTTAAATGGAAATCTACCCTCTGCCTTGAGGTTTTTCATGTCGCCTCTTTCACCCATAATAAGCAACTGAGCTGATTGTCACCTCTCAGCTAATGAGTTCCCATTCAATCCTTTTCTCTATTAATCAACTATTGAAACTCCTCTTTCTTTATCTCATTCTTCAATTCCCTTTTCTCCCTCCATTCATTGGTTTCTTAAAATTTTCCATATATACCACTTCAATTTTCTGGGCAATAATAGGCTTGCAAATTAACCAAGTATCAATGTAATTCCACCCTTCAGCCTATACTGTCAATTTTCTGCCTCTTTCTCTTCCTGAATGTTGGTTGGTTCACTGACTAGCGTCCAACTTTGCCTTCATATGCTGGTGTTTATCTATATTATAGACTTGTATCAAAATACATAGTAAATGATGCAGGAGACAGACACAAATGGACTTTTTAACTGATAATTACAACTTGATGATCTTCCTTTGGATGAAAATTATCAAATCGTGGCATGCAGATTGTTACTTTTTCTTTAATTTACACCTATATTGTTTGCAAGTTTCCTCATGACTTTTTACTACATTCCATTTCTAATCACCCCTGTAGAAATTTAGAGAAGTAATGACTGCTAGTCCATATCATTTTTATTTCTTATTTATAATAAAGAGTGATGATGTCAAACAATTTTCACTTTAGGTTGTGCAGGCAAACTAGGAATCCTCATTGTATGATTGAACTAGGACATTGTTGACAACTTTATCTTGCCTAAATTCTTATCAACACCCCATCATTGTATTTCTATGAGCGATTGTTGTTTGACTTCTGCGTCAAATGAAGTGATTTGCAGTTAAATGCACAAAAGAGAATACAGGCATCGAGGGCTGAAAATACTTCTTTAATGATTATAGTAATACTTTTTCAAAGAAGCCATAAATCTCTAAGTTGCTAGCAACAGAAATAACAATTATAAGAAAACAAATATATGAGGAGGAGACTTCAATAGCCACAAACCTTCTCTAATTCTGCTATTCCCTTGGCATATTCTTGTCTCTGCAGCAATGCAAGTCCCAACATATAGTGGGCCTGTGATAAAGCAAACGAAAATTTACATAGGTATAACACACTCCAAAACAAAGAAATATGTTAGCAGTAAGAAAATACACAAAGAGGTCACAACTATTTGTTATATATAATGGACCATAGTCAAAAACTGTCTTCCAGCCATTGCTTCTATTAAACAGTACACACCTCTCATGCATGCCGCCACACCCCATTTTTTTTCTAAAAAAACCAGTAATATTATTCCAAAGGCTAGATCACATAATGAAATTGTATACAAGATAACATAGCATTAAATCCATTGTCTTCCAATTTAACTCTATCTCGCTATGAACAAATACAATATATATTTGATTGTAATCCATATTTGAAGAAAATACTCCAGATATATCTACCTAAACAGAAACCAAACCAATGAGACTCAGAACAGCCAATCATCCACCACAATCATTTTAAAAAAAGGACCCGCATTGGGCTTCATATGAACACTTACAAGTTCTAAAACATAATGTATAACCAATATAAACATAAATAAACAAAAATGCTCATCTATAGTCAATCATTCTAGGGTTTAATCAGAAAGATTTTGGCCAAATTTGTTAATGGTTTCATCTTAAATGTTTCTTGCAAGGAGCATATCTCATGATAGGCATGATTCATTCTGAAGTTACAATCCAGAAGCAGTGTTAAAAAAAAAAAAAAGAAAAAAGAAAAAAAGAAAAAAAGAAAAAGAAAAAAGAGGAAGACTCATAAGGCATAAAAATATATCATACAATTAGCATAGAAAATACATGATCACATAGCCAAATTCTAGAGAGACAAAATGATCGCATCAACAATCTGTTAAGGGCCGCAAAAGAAAAAAGGAAAACACAAGAAACAAAGAAATAATCACCTTGCCTCTCAAACCAAGGTAACTTATGAGATATCCCCAGTTCTAAGGTTTGAGATATCACCAGTTCCTAAAATTTGACACTATGTTTCTCCAACTTTTTCCTCCACCAAGCATAAATAGATCTAACACCTTACACCATCTACATTGAAGAAAGGGACTGCGTGGTACACCCAGAAAGATCACTCAAAAGGATAAGATCCCAGGGCAACAATTAAATATCACAAGAATTCATCTGAATAAAACACTAAAAAGGGCACCACAGAGAAACTTTGGTGTTATCTTAGAAAGTAATTAAAACTTCGTATCTCACAATCATTCTACTTAGTGTTTGCATCGATGATTTAATCAAAAGATTTCTACAAGCATACAATACCCCAGCCCCCCAAATTGTTGCTAAGAAAAACACATCTAAAGAAATATTTCACATTCCAAGTTTCAACATGCTATTATGAAAGAAATAGAACCATTCGAAATCTAGAGCTATTACTACATCTATCCCAGGACAAAATTAAATGGGCAGCACACTCAATTCAAACGTGCCAGATGATCAAGCAGTGAGGAAATGCCTGCAAATCAATATCAGACATGTTGAAGTCTTGAAGCACAATACAATTACAAGGGGATCGCAACAACCTGACTGAATTGTGATTAAGTTGAATAGCTTTCCGACAATCTTCCTCCACTTTCGGCCAGTCACTGCAAGAACCACAAACCAACAAACGATACGCATAAAAGAAACCAGAAACCAATTTCAATTCATGAAATTACAGACAAAGAGCAAAACCGAATTAGATAGTTTCCATACATACTTCCGCTTACGATGGCATAGAGCACGATTCGTGAAATAAACCGGATTGTTGGGCATCAGAGTAATAGCCTTTGAAAACAAAACGAAATCAAGAAAGGAAAAATAAAAGCAATCAGCACCAAGAAGTTCGATCTTCACCAATAAAGCAACGATAACATAGGTCGACATACAATTCTCAAAATCCTTATCTGAAGAATACCTCCGTATAAGCATCGATGGCAGCTCCGAAGCGATCTTTCTTGAAGTAAGTATTGCCGTTTATTCGAAGTTTCTCCGCCTGTTTCGCCACCACCGACAAAGAACCTGCATTTGGCCCCATGGCTGGAAAATTCTATGTCTCTATGAGAAAACTCTCTCGCGTTATATATGTATAAAACAGATATATGTGTGTCAGTATATCTGAGCAATTATGGTTCGCGAAGGAAGAAGCAGAGAATGAGAGATGAAAATTGTCCAGAATCTTCCAGGCGACAGCCGAAGCCAAACGCGAAAGAACCCAGAAACAGACGACGCGAAAGAACCCAGAAACAGACGCTTGGAATTGTACTGACTCCGCATAGAAGATTTTAGGTCCACGAGAAAGGATCAGATGACAGCACAAGCACGTAACTTATGACAGCTTGCTTTTATTGGGCGGTCCGCAGCTTCGTGTTATTATTATTCTGGTTATTTTTTATTATCATGCAATTTTCGAGAAGATGAGGAAAAAAATACATTTAAAATACACAAATCACAATTAAGTACTACAAAATATATAATAATTATTATTTATCTCATAGATATTTGTCAGACAATTTGATTTTTGATAAAAAATGGCGATGAAAATGACATATTTACCCCATAATTATTATAAAAAATAACTATTTTAATTGAGTTATTAATTAAAACGAAATATAAAATAATTATTTTTTATAAATTTATTTATTAATTAAATGCAATTAAAGTAATTTTTTTAGAAAGGAAGTATGAATAAGAAATTTGTAAAAAAGTAACTAGTCATTACAAAAAAAAACTAATTATTTTCTTTCTAATCCATTTATAAATAACAAATTTATATAAAAGAAATAGTCAATATGTTATTCTATCAAAATTAAAATAGCAGTTAGGTTTTTAGAAACTAAATAATAATTATTATATTTCATGATACTTTGCATATTTTAAGAATATTTTTTTGGTCATATTCCTGTTTGAATAACTAATAATATACTTGGGGCTGGCACAAAATCTCACATAATTTTTTTTCCCCCATTATGTGTGCGTGCAGCGAAGTACATTAATTATTAATTACATATTTAAAAGACAACAATAACCTAAAATCAAAATAGCGTCGGCCCCAAAATAATATAAACCATACAATGAGTTCAAATGATCTGTCACTCAAAATTTATCTAAATATTCATTAATTCTTATCATTAATTATTATTTAAAAATAAAACATTAGAGCTTTCAAATAAAGGTTCACTGGGAGGGGGTGGTGCTATTTTAACATAAGATCTTTAAAGTTATGTGTTTGATGATTTAAATATATATATATATATATATATATGTACATATATATACACACACACAGGATTATGAGTTAGCCTGAACTAATTTTAATGGGCTTATAACAGGCCTAATAGCACTAGAAGCTTATTATTATTATTTTTTAAGCACAACACAATTTTTACAAGGGCTAATAGGATAGTTTAACAAGTCCCATTCATATTGATAATCTTACTCACCTTAAATCACCATAATTTTTTAAGATAAATTGGCTTAGTGGCTAGAAAAAATTGTGTCCAAAAAATATGGATCAAATTTTTAAAAATTTAAAAATATGACCGATTCACATTAATATATAAGAAATTTATTATTGATAATTATTAAAAATTTAAAATTTACAAGGGGTTTATTATTAATATACAAAGTTATATTACTAACAAATACTCTCTCCGTTAAAAAATGTAAGGTATTTTTTAAAAAGTTGGATGTTAAAAAATGTAAGGCATTTTTAGTCTTTTGATGTGTAATTATTATATTTTTTTTCAAAAGTGCCAATATTGATAATGATTTTATATTTATTATAGGGTGGTTAATAAGGGTAACCATGAAAAGATAAGGTTAGTTTGAAAGTAGGTAACTACTTTATTGAGGGTGAGATTTAGTTAAAAATACTTTATATTTTTAAATAGAGGAAGTATAATAAATTGGTCATAATACAAAATATAATAAATAGTGTCTTGTTTGCTTGACTTGGCCCTATAGTTATATTTGCAAAAGTCTTAATTTGTTTATAAAAAATTAGTAAAATTATGTTCTTTTAACAAATAAGCATTGAAGCTAAGGGAAATATGATTTCAAAACAAAATCTTTAGCTTTGATTTTTTTTTTGACCTGATTTTTGAATCGTATTTAATATATAGAAAGATGCTATATTCATGAACTGACCTTTAGGTAAGGTATAGATCAACTTTCAATTTAATATAAACAATTGAAGAATGTTGGCCAAAAAAATAAAAATAAAAATAAAAAAGTGATTTATATTTATTTTGAATTTAATTTTGTTGGCAAAAAAAATTTTAAATTTTAAATGTGAATTCTTTACGGTACAAATAGTATATATAATATTTTCAGCCTCTAATGGCCTGCCGGCTCGCTCGTGTCTCAAGGTTTTATGCTTTGCCAAAATCATTTGAGCATGGGTTCGAGCTGGTAGGTCCTTTTAGAGCTGGGAAAACGGGCGGGCCCGGCCCTTAAGGGCCTAGGCCCTTAAGCCGGTTCTTCATTTTCAACCCCTTTTCTGAAGCCCGGCCCTTATGTTCAGGGCTCAGGGCCGGGCCCGAAAGCCCTGATCTAAAAAATTAAAATAAAATTAAAATTAAAAATTAATTAAAATATTCAGAAATTGAAAACAATTAAAGTCCTCTCAATCTTTTAAAAATTAAACAACATATTTAAAAATCCAAACAATACATATTCATCAATCAAAACATAAATCCTCCTCATCTTCATCATCTACAAATAAAACATTAGAACTCTGAGAAGTAGGTCCACTTGTTAAAGGTGGAGGGGCTTCAATATCAATATACTCTGCAACCACTTCTTCCTCACCTACAATAAAAATGAACAAAATTGTGTTATTATTAAACATACACAATCACATATATCACAAGACAACATTTCACAAAACAAAAATTACCACATAATGGTGGAACAAAACCATGTAACCAATTTCGAGTACAAATTAATGCTTGCACATTATCTGGAAGGAGGCTAGAACGATACTTTGTTAGAACACGGGAACCAATACTAAAAGCCGATTCACTAGCTACCGTAGTTATCGGAATACTTAAAATATCGCATGCCATCTTTGAAAGATTGGGAAATCGTTGTTGATTAGTCATCCACCAATGCAACACGTCCAACTCTGGAAATTGGTGACCATCAAGAGAAGCTTCTTCCAAATAATAATCCAGTTCAGATTTCCCAACAGAAGAAACATCCTTACTCTTGAAATTAAGAAAATCCTATGTAAAAAAACAAAAAGTATCAAATAAGGGATTATAAACCATAGTAATGAGATAATGTGTATTAGATAAATAAGAACTTACACCATAAAGTTGAATCCAAGACATGGTAGGTTCCTTCTTCTCTACCATCCTTCCACTTGTGCTTGAGCTTGGTTGACTTTGTATTGGAGTTGAACTTGATGTAACATTAATGGAAGATCCACCCATCTCTTTGTATTGATCAAAGATATAAGACAACTTTTGTTTGATATTATCAACTTTCATGTAGTAATCCACAGGATCAATCAAAGAGAAAGAATACTTGATTGCTTCAAGCTTTGCTCGTGGATCAAAAACACTTCCAATTGAAAGGATCACACTATAATCACTCCAATACTTGTCAAATTTATCCTTCATTCTAATTGCCATACTAGAAATCACAGGATCACGATTGCTAATGGCATCATTCAACAAAATCTCAACTTTTGCTATTTGTCCAAAATACATATTGGAAGTTGGATAGGATGTGCCAAAAATCAAAGTAGTAATCATTGCAAATGGTTGTAAAAAAATGCACATTTCCTCTGCTCTCCTCCACTCTTCATTTGATAAGGAATACTTAAAATTAGTGTCACGACAAGACATGCAAACAAAAGCTCTTTTATATCTAATTCCACTTTCAAGCATGTCATAAGTGGAATTCCATCTAGTAAGCACATCTAATCGCAATCCCATTGAGGTGTCAATACCACCAACTTGCTCAACACATTGCTTGAAAATTTTCATCCTGGACTCAGACATCTTAACATATTTAATGCTGTCTCGAATTTTATTTATTGCAACATTTGTCACCTTCAAACCTTCTTGAACTATCAAGTTCAAGATATGTGCACAACACCTCACATGAAAAAATTCCCCATCACAAATCAAATTATTTTGCAAAATCAACCTCTCTTTCAAGATCTCAGCCATACAATCATTTGCAGATGCATTATCCAAAGTAATTGTAAAAATTTTCTTTTCAATCCCCCAATTACTTAAGCTCTCAAAAACTTTACTGGCTAATTCATGTCCAGAATGTGGAGGCTCCATTTTACAAAAAGAAAGTATCCTACTATTAAGCTTCCAATTTTCATCCACAAAATGTGCTGTTAAGCAAATATAACCCTCAGATGTTACAGAAGTCCAACAATCAGAGGTCAAACATATTCTACTAGGACACTTTGATAACATCACTTTTAACTTGTCTTTTTGTACCTCATACAATCTTCTAACATCTGACACAGCAGTCTTTCTACTCATAAGCTTAACATCAGGATTACATTCCTTAAGCAACTCCTTAAGAAGAGGAAATTCAACAAAAGAATATGGCAAATCATGTGCAACAATCAACATCCCCAACAACTCCCTTATACGTGAATTATTGATTTGTCTAGATCTTATGTTGCCTTAATTATCTAACATCATCAAGCCTACATTGTGAAACTTTGGAAGAGCTACACATTGTTTAATATGACGACTCAAATGTGAAGTGCCATAATTTCCACCACATGCTAATAAAGTGCCACAACCATTACACTTAACCTTTGCTACCCCCTCTTCATTAACCACCCTAGAAAAAGATTTCCAAACGTCTGAAGTCAAACCTTTTACTTTCTTAGGTGGTTTTAGACTACATGTAGTAAATTGGGTGGAAGTTGATTCTCTTTTACCATCCCCTTCAACTGACTTGTTACTAGTTTCATTACTCTTGGCACTAGAGGATGACATACTGTGCAAAGAAACATAAACCATATTATCAAAATTAAAAATCATGCATCAAAACTCAGAGTCTCAGACCAACAGCATCATATCATCATTTTACAAAAAATCAGGACACAATATCAAATCAAAAATAGACAACATTGTTATTTAATCAAGTGAATAAATTAACTAACCTGTGAAAGCCGAGATGAGCGAGAGGGAGAGACAAGATTCAAGAAGCAGAGAGCCAGAGACCGAGAGACGTGAGGCGTGAAGATCTGAAGGAGAGCAGAGTATGGACGAGAGGAAGGAGACGAGCAAGATG